ACTTTAAACTATTGCTTCTTGAACTTGTGCTCAGAATGTGTGGTGACATTGTGATCCACCCTGAGCTTGTACTGCTTTGCTTGCTCTGCTGATTACACCCCACTTTGGCTATGGGGGTGTGTCAGAATGCTATTATTGTCTAGCCTGCAGTGGGGTACTCTATAGCGAGTACAGCCCAATCTAGGGTTTGCTATTTGTACTCAACTGCCTGCTAGTTCAACCCCTCTCCTTTCATTCATTCTTGCCTAGTGATTCTGACAATGAATGGGGCCAGTTGTTATGGGATCAATTGTTGTAAAAGCTACAATGTGATTCATAAATGTTGAATGTCAAAGGACACATGATGTACTCACGTTTTTGTAAGTTTGTCGAGGTGTGCAAGGCTCTCTTCTGTATGATATGGCCGTAGCCACACCTCGCAGTGCCAGTAGACGTATAGCGTGACTGTTTGTGTAATGTCTGTCTCGACATCAAGCAGCTCCAGAATCACTGGCAACACTTGCATAACCGCAGCATGTTCAAAGGCCTGGAATGTCCCTTTGTTCGCAAAGTATCTCTTCGCATATGACGGAAGGCGGAACATGGATTGGCGACTATAGTCCGTGATCCCGCGCATCGCATCATCCAGCCGATCAAGGAGCCTAGGTAGCATCGAGCGCAAGCAATCGATGATGTGCTTGAACACTCCAAGGAGTGATAGATGCATGATGTCTCCCATGAATGCGCGATAAGGATTTCCCCACGTCGTATTCCCATTTGGGAACCCCCATATTGCCACCTGCAAATAAGTCCAAGTGTGTGCGTATGAGAGAGGGTTATTGAGAATGAATTAAACCATGACATAACAATCGAAGTCAAAGTACAATTTGTGACATGAATAGTTCTTCCAAAGGTGGAAGGGACCTGGTGCTTACATTGATGGCGTGTGTACTCTCTGTCGTCTCCGCGGATGCAAGCGCACGGTTCGAGCTTCGATGCATGTCCACAATCGATTTGGTGAGGACCTGTCCTTGCTCTGTACGATAGCATCGTTCAGCTTCCACGTTTGACATGTTCTCCTTCGTCACTTGGCATCTCGGGCATGGGAACTGGGTTTGATGACCCGCCTTTGTCCCGGCGATCTTGCATTGCTCTGGATAGTCCCCCACATAGGCATAAAGAAGGGCTCGCACGAAACGCAAGATACCGTATGGATCCTTCAGAAAAGCACCCGTGTCCTCCTTCTCCTTCTGTTCTGCCAGTATGATTGAGAGACACTCGTGTATGATTTCAAGCCGGCGCCGTGTGGGGTCCACTCCTGGTTGAATTTGGTGCTTTTGCAACGGAGGCAACATGGCCGCCATCCGCCTGCCACTGGGCTTCCACCTGTTTTTAGAAGACGTATTCCCGAGGGCGACATATATAGGATGTCCCGAAGCTCCGCCGTCCTTTGCTAGCTCCGTTTCGTCTGAGTATAGTATGACAGCAATAATGGACGCCCCTGGGAGATCTTCAACTGCTTCTCTCCAGAACGTGCCAGTTGATGGATCTGTATATCGATGCGGTGTCTCATCCGATGCGGTCTCATTCGAAGCTTCTGTATCAGGTGCAATTATGAATTCGTCCACATTGGCAGGATCGGTGTACATGTCCACCACGCAAGCCCACGTTGAACGCCACCATAGAATGACCTCAGTCTTGTCCTTGCTCGGGTCTGTGAGGACAAGCATTTGAAACGGTTGTAGCACCACCCGTTCCGTGAGGGATGCCTCCAGCTTGTCAACATCTGCGACGGTCATTAGTGTGAGATTCGCTCCTGCGTCATGAAATAGGGTCAAGAGCTCCTTGATCGACTCTCTCGAGAGGCTGCTGCCACCGTTTCCTGTTTTACAAAACTTCCAAAAGCGACGATCGATGGCGGTGTATTGTTCTGCTGCACTGCTTGCGCGTTCAAGGTTGGGCTCATCGACGGGTGCCATTGGCGCATGCGGTGCTGCGTCCTGTGACGACGTGCGAGGGCTTGGTGCTGCAGGCTCTGGATTGTTGCGTGTGGTGGTAGTGGCATACTCATGCCTATTACCGCGAACATGATTGGTCCGTTCAGCTTGTGATGCGAATGTAACAATGCAGTCACGGTCGGGGCATGTTATTTTAAGCCGTTTCCTACCGTCCATTGCTAGATGAGCTAGTTGACCACGATATTCCGCAGCATATGTTGAATAAAGAACAAAAGCTTTACAATTGACCTTCAAAGAGCATATACAAGCGCTGCTACATCAAAACCAACAGCTCATGGATGCAGATGTCCTGATGCTGTAGTAAAACATGAGGACTAGGGTGGAATAATTGGCTGGACTAGTGCCTCAATGGGCGGGCCAAGAGGCAGGTGGAAGGGCAGTGTGGGAGGTGTCGAGAAAGCTAGGAAAAACGAGAAACAGGAAAGAGGGCTTTTCACTAGCAGCAGCAGGATACATATACGAAACCCTAAATCGGGTTGTACTCGCTATAGAGTACCCCACTGTAGGCTAGACAAACATAACATTCTGACACACCCCCATAGTCAAAGTGGGGTACAATCAACACAACAAGCAGGCAGAGCAGTAGTTCACAATTATAAGCGTTAGAGCCTATCACAGAGAGCAAGTGAGGAGGAGGAGAAACTGTGGGGCCGAGAAGATGAGAGACGACGGCTGAAGCTGCAGACACACGGGCAACAGAAGTGCGCAGCACTGTCGCTACCAGGCTAAACCCGGACTACACGGCGACAGGCTCTGCTGGCTCGCTGTGCTCCCACGAGTGCTCACACTGTGGCTACCGGGCGCAGAGCCCCGGACTACTCAGGCCACAGGGGGTCGTGGCTCTCTGGACTACCAGGAGTGCTCACACCGTGGCTACCGGGCGCAGAGCCCCGGACTACTCAGGCCACAGGGGGTCGTGGCTCTCTGGACTTCAGGCGCTGCGGACGACAAGTCGGCTACCTCCGGTCAACCTCCCCCAACTGTTCCACACCCCTTTCACACACTCCCTGCTGAACCACTAGCACCGCTCACACGCCACCCCCCTCGTACCACTCCGACGGCTCCAACACATCCACCCCCCTCAGCGGCAGCTGCAGCAGTGGGAGACGGAGGAGGAGGAGAAGAAGGGGACGGCTCACACACACGGCACCCCCATACTCTCCACCCCCAAACCCTAACACAGGAACGCGGGCAGCAGCGGGGGTGGGGCGCGGTCAGAAGCTCGGGGGACGGCGTGCGGCACAGGGGAAGACGGTACGGGCCCCTCACGGGCCTGGCGCAAGCCGGACGAACCGCGCGCGGGCCTGGCGCAGCCCGTACGGGCCGCGCGCGGGCCTGGCGCAGGCCGTACGGGCCGCGCGCGGGCTGTACGGGCCGCGCGCGGGCCTGGCGCAGCCCGTACGAGCAGCGCGCGGGCCTGGCGCAGGCCGTACGGGCCGCGCGCGGGCCTGGCGCAGGTCGCGCGGGCTGCTACGGGCGACGGGGGGCGACGCGCGGGTCCCCGGGGGCGCTTCGGCGGGCGACGGGGGGCGGCGCGCGGATCGACGGGGCAGCAAACCGCGGCGCACCTCGGGGCGCGCGGCGGGCAGGGCAGAAAACCGCCGTGCGCCCCGAGCGCGCGGCGGGAAGAAAAAACGCTGCGCACTCCGAGCGCACGGCAGTGAGAAAACGGCGCGCGCTCTGGGCACGCTACAGGCAGTAGAGCAGCGGAAGCATCGGGTGGGGCCCACCCACAGGATCGACCCAGGAGGGTCGACCTGCTCTGATAGCATGTCGAGAAAGCTAGGCAAAACGAGAAACAGGAAAGAGGGCTTTTCACTAGCAGCAGCAGGATACATATACGAAACCCTAAATCGGGTTGTACTCGCTATAGAGTACCCCACTGCAGGCTAGACACACATAACATTCTGACAGGAGGAGGAATGTTTGAGGGGAGGGAGGGATGAGGAGAGTGTGAGGGTAGGATTGGAGGCGCTGGTATGGACTGGGGGAGATGGGATGCATGGGTGGGGAGAGGGTGGAATGAGGAGGTGGGATGGGCTGGGGGAAGATGGGATGAGTGGGGGGATGGGGGAATGGGGAGGAGGGGGGATGGGATGAACGCCGGGATGGCGGAATGGGGAGGAGGTGGGATGGCTGGGGGAGATGAGGTGAACGGCCGTGGGAGGGCGGAATGGGGAGGAGGAGGGATGGCTGGGGGGGAGGAGGTGGGATGGATGGGGAAGATGAGGCGAATGGTGGTGGGAGGGCGGAATGGGAGGAGGTGGGATGGATGGGGGAGATGAGGTGAATGGCTGTGGGAGAGCGGAATGGGGAGGGATGGTTTGGGAGGAGGAGGTGGGATGGCTGCGGGAGATGAGGTGAATGGTCGTGGGAGGGCGGAATGGGGAGGAGGAGGGATGGCTGGGGGGGAGGAGGTGGGATGGATGGGGGAGATGAGGCGAATGGTGGTGGGAGGGCGGAATGGGGAGGAGGTGGGATGGATGGGGGAGATGAGGTGAATGGCTGTGGGAGAGCGGAATGGGGAGGGATGGCTTGGGAGGAGGAGGTGGGATGGCTGCGGGAGATGAGGTGAATGGCCGTGGGAGGGCGGAATGGGGAGGAGGAGGGATGGCTGGGGGGATGGACGGGGGAGATGAGGTGAATGGCCGTGGGAGGGTGGAATGGGGAGGAGGAGGGATGGCTGGGGGGGAGGAGGTGGGATGGATGGGGGAGATGAGGCGAATGGTGGTGGGAGGGCGGAATGGGAGGAGGTGGGATGGATGGGGGAGATGAGGTGAATGGCCGTGGGAGGGCGGAATGGGGCGGAGGAGGGATGGCTGGGGGGGTGGATGGGGGAGATGAGGTGAATGGCCGTGGGAGGGCGGAATGGGGAGGAGGTAGGATGGATGGGGGAGATGAGGCGAATGGTGGTGGGAGGGCGGAATGGGGAGGAGGTGGGGTGGCTAGGTGGGAGGAATAGGGGGGATGGGCGGATGGGGTGCGATGAACGTGGGATGGATGCTAGAGGCGGAAAGGCGAGAGGGGTGGGAGGCCGCGATGAGGAGTGGGGCGAACGGCGGAAAGGCGAGAAACTTCATTGGCGCACAGGCGACGCGGTGGGAGGCCGGAACGGGGAGGAAAAGGGATGGAGGAAAGGAGGTACTGACGCGGATCGGTCAGGATATAGGTTGGAGCACACGCGAAGAGGAGGAACAGCGCCAGCGCGACGGGATGTGAGGCGCCAAGGCGACGGGATGTGAGGCGCCAAGGCGACGGGATGTGAGGCGCCAAGGCGACGGGATGTGAGGCGCCAAGGCGACGGGATGTGAGGCGCCAAGGCGACGGGATGTGAGGCGCCAAGGCGACGGGATGTGAGGCGCCAAGGCGACGGGATGTGAGGCGCCAAGGCGACGGGATGTGAGGCGCCAAGGCGACGGGATGTGAGGCGCCAAGGCGACGGGATGTGAGGCGCCAAGGCGACGGGATGTGAGGCGCCAAGGCGACGGGATGTGAGGCGCCAAGGCGACGGGATGTGAGGCGCCAAGGCGACGGGATGTGAGGCGCCAAGGCGACGGGATGTGAGGCGCCAAGGCGATGGGATGTGAGGCGCCATGGCGACGGGATGTGAGGCGCCAAGGCGACGGGATGTGAGGCGCCAAGGCGCCTAGGTGGGATGGCGGAACGGGGAGGCGACAAGATGAGAAGAACGCGGAGGAAACGGGATGGCGGAAAGGCGAGGTGGGACGGCGGTTTAGGGGAGGAGGCGGACCGAAGAGGAGGTGGAAACGCGGACCAAGTGGTGACACAGTGTGGTGACGAGGTGAGAGGACGCAACGGGGAGGAATCGGGGTGGATGAGGTAAGGAAGTGGAATGACGGACTGGTAAGATATGGAAACTGTCGATCGGCCACGAGGTGGGATGGCGGAACGGGGAGGAAGAGAGATGGCGGAATTGGGAGGTGGAGATTAGCGTGAGAAAGAGAGCGCAAGCCTGAAGGAAATATGTGATGTGGAGTCGAGGAGTGAATTCGAAGTATCTGGAGAGAATTTACGAGAGCAAGTTTTACGGATCCAAATGAATTCGGGGAACTCGTACGGATGAGGTGTGGTTATGCTTTGCTTTCGGGGCGCTTCGAAATAGATGCTTCTCATGGGACAAGACCCACTTGACTAATTTCTTCCAGTACAAAAACGCCACGCGACCAGCTCAGGCGATTCATGAACCACGTATGAGGCTGCTTGCGTGGTTTTAGTGCCACCTGAGCTGGAACTCGAATGAACCTCCCAGCGGAGGTAGACGGGTCAGAGACACTCGCCCACCACTAACGGCCAGAAATGACAAAGTAGAAAAGCTCCAATGCCGTTTGGGCACGTGTGATTTGCCACAACGATATTGACCAACTAAAGTTCAATAAGGTCTTTTACCAATGTACACCATACATGTGGGTAAGACATGTAACAAAAGGATGTTAGGGCGTTCATTTTGGGTAGTGTGAAGCACGCATTTCTCAAAAACAGCCCATCATGTAAAAACCTGGAATGTCAGGAAAAAAGCCTGAAATTTCAAACAGACATACTAAAAATAGCCTGATATACTTGTTGGAATTGGGGCGAGTTGAAGGTGGCGCGGGCTAAGTGTTGCGCTATGGTGTATAGCAACATTACTGAATAATTCTGCGCGGACGTCGAGACGGCGTCATGTGTCGCACAGGCCTAGCTTGTCGAAGGAATTGGCCCCGCCTTCGCTTGAGCGTGGCCGATCTCGTTCGCGACGGATTGGTCGACGAAATGGGCTTCTGCAGTTCGGCAGAAGTTCCAGTCGAGCAGGCCCTGCTCGACAGAATCTGGTCGACGAGCTCGACGCGACTAGCTCTGGTCGACGATCTCTGCGCGACGAGCTTCCGTCGAAGAGCGCTGGTAGAGGAACTCTGGTCGAGGAACTCTGATAGAGTCGAGCCTTGATAGAGTCGGACTGATCGACCGTCGTTGCAGAGTTGTGCGAGACTCTGCGGAGGTGTGCAAACTTTCGCCCAGGAGGTTTTGGCGAAGTTCCACCTGCAGAACGGCATCACGTGGTCGACGGTGCGCACTTGCCGAAACCGACGACACGTTTTCTACCTGGCACCTGCGCAATGTGCCTGACGGTGAAACCGCCAACCTGCACCTACTTGGTAGGTGCGCACATCTGCGTACATTGGCAACCTGCGACTGCAGCTAAGTTACCTGCTACTGCAGTGCTGGCAGAGCGCGCGCCGTGCAACGCTGGCAGACTACTCTGCTGCAGCGTTGGCAAGCCGCTCTTCTACTGCGTAGGGCAGTGTTTGCCCTTTCTAGGTGTTTCATGCCATTTTAGTTCTCTTGTTCTGCATGCTTCAACTTTACTCTAATTACTTTTCTATCAAGTTTGTATTTGCAAGTTGTTTCTTTCAACTTCCATACTTGAATTCTTGCCACATTTCTTTGTGAACACAACAAGTGGTAAGAACGCTAGCAGGGCGCTACGATCATTCACACAACCCCGTGCCCTCCTCCGTAGTCCACTCCCGTTGTGTAGTGACTCTCCGCATAGCCTTGCACAGTTTTCCAGCCTTAATCCTCTCTAGCAGCATATCAGCATACCGGATGCTAAATGGCAAGAGTCTTGTACTACAGGCCTGCAATTTTGTAAGTGAAGTGCAAGAACGCGCTAAACCTTTTTAACTTGATCAATGAGACGTTAAAACGGCACCACATGTCGCATAGGCTTCTCGCGGTGAACGGCACCAAACGTGTCCCGCATGCGTGCAATAAAATAAATGTAGTGCATGATCCGCTGAAACCTTAATTGCAAAATCACAACGGTTGGAGAGATGGCACCACAAGTCGCACAGGCATATCCTGACACTGCAATCCTCGCCAAACAGTCAAAGCAGAATGACTTTCTACTCTACGCGGCGGATGGCCCCAACATTGTCCTGCATGATTGGAGTGAACCTGCTAGTAACACCAGGGATACTGCCTTTGTGTTGAGCCTCTATATAGCCTCGCCTTGTACCCATGTGCATTATTCAACAGTTCAATCTTTCCTGAACCAGATCCTCACAAATATAGCTTTCCCTGCTCAAACGTCCCGAAGCTGCTTAACTCCCTACCATATGCGGCAATGGCACGGAGCTTGTCATGCTTAACCACGATGTAGCAGATGTAGGGAATGATAGGCGAAGACCTTGTAAAAAAAAAACAAGAATGGGCGTCGAAACAACATTACGTGTCGCACAGGCCTATCCTTGCACCGCTGTGCATCTGTAGGCTGTTATCTGCGCCTGACGAGCCTGGTCGACATCGAGCTACTAGACCGAAGTCACCTTCGCCACTGCACCCTCGACGGCGTTCGCGTGCACCCATAGAACTTGACGAGCAGGCTACTTGGTCGACCACTAGTGCGCGCCCTGGTCGACGAACCCCTCAACGACCACCGCGCCCGTCGAACTATCCTGGTCGACGGCGTGCCAACGCTGTACAGCGCTGCACCCGTCGAAGACAACGGTACGCACGCTCGCAGATGCGCGCAGACGATTGACCCGACATGCATCGCTGTGCATTTGTCAGCTGTTTTCTGCACCAGACGAGCCACATCGACATCGATATGCTAGACCGAAGTCGCCTTCGCCACCGCGACCTCGACGACGTTCGCGTGCCTCCACAGTACTCGACGAGCAGGTTACTTGGTCGACCACCAGTGCGCGCCCTGGTTGACGAACCCCTCAACGACCACCGCACCCGTCGAAGTACTCTGGTCAACAGACGGGCCGTCGACCAGCAAGATCAGCTGCAGTTGTCGATCTCCAGTACTCAACAGCTGCCCACACTTCCCACGTAGGTCGACTAACAGCTTCGTCGACCTCCCTTGTCGAACTAGACCGCCTGCTCCCATCGACGGCGGCATCGCAGCGGTCGCCTGCAGGTCGATAACCCCGTCGACCATCAATCCGATCCCTGCAGAACAGTTGGCCGCACCATTCGCACGCCCGAACAGAAAGTCAGCGTCGCCCAAGCGAGCGCGAGGCCAACAATCCATTCCCGGTAACATCACAGATGCCTATATTTTGCATACTTCCTCCACGCTAACGTCTGAGACAGCATAACTTCCTACCATATGCAGCGAATAACACCAAACGAGACCTGCATGCTTGCAATAATGGAAGTGGAGTAAATAATCACTTTCTATTAAGAAAATCAAGCGAACGTCGAAATGGCACCACTCGTTGCACGTGGATATCATTGCATAGCTTACACTGCTTAACAGTTTAAAGCAGAATAATTTCCTACCTTACTTGGCGAGACGCATCAAACTTGTCCTACATGCTCGCAATGTAGTACATGTAGTGAATGATAAGAAGAGAACTTCTTAAAAATAACAAAGTAGCGTCAAAACAACATCAGGTGGCGCACAGGCCTACTTTGAGGCACCATTTATGCAAGACTTGCTCGTATCGTTGTGTAAGTCAGACCCTACAACAAAAGCTGTCCAAAGTGCCAGTCATAGAAAACGATAAACATTTTTCTTTCCTCATATACGTTACTGTTTTTTCAAACTGTAATCATGTGCAAGAAATTTGTCTCCAATAATGGGAACACAAGGATTAAAATCAAATATTACATTTACAACTGTTTAACAATCCCACCTGCCAAGTAACAAATATCGCAGCAACTTATGTACAAAGCGCTTCACACCCGAACCTGGTAATCTCACCCATGCCTGCGCCAGACCTGCCATTCAAGACTCGATCTGCCAGCACGTGCCAAACAAGATGAGAGAATGCGTGACTCGAAATTGAGTTCCGCAGCTTTGCAAGTTTCGACCAATCGTTAGTTTCCAGCAATGCACATTCGAATTTCTTTCAACTCAACCTACACCCTCCGAAACACATGAGCACGATCCAACTTCCGTTCAACTTGATTTCGGAAGTTGGTTCTTTTCCGATGCGCCTATACCTCCGCTATTCCCCGACTCTTCAGCTATTGTACGCATTGCATGGATACTATATGGTGACAGTCACACATACGCATAGGGTTTAGGTCGACGAAATAAGCGAGCGAAATGCTGCCCGTCTCTGTCTGACGGGCAGCATTCGCGCGCACGGCGGAACGAAGGGAGAAGTTACGAGGGAAACCCGGCAGTATGGAAGCGAGGCCACGGGGGGAAGTAGGGGGAAGGGCAGAAACGGGAAAAAGGGTAGTTAGGGTGTGGAAAGGGGGAATAGGGGTGTAGGGTAGTGATGGAAACTGTGTTTCTTAGGACGTTAGGTGGAGACTGCACTATGCATGAAGCAGGGTGTAAGGTGGAGCGGTGAAAGGGCGAATAAGAGTAAGGCATAGAGAGTGGTGAGGCGGAAGCAAGGAGTAGGGAAGAGTGGGGAAGGGGGAAGGCGGGTGGTATACAGAGGGGAAAAGGGGGATGAAGGGCGTAAGGCAGAGAGGGTGGAAAGGCAGAAGAAGGGGGTATGGCTGAGTGGGTAATATGGGAAGGAGGACGTAGGTCAGAGGCTAACGGGGGAAGAAGGGCGTAATACGATGAGAGGGGAAAGGGGGTTGACGGGTGTAAGGCAGAGAGGGGTGAGGGGGAAGAAGGGTGTAGGGACGAGAGGGAAAAGGAGGAAGGAGGGTGTATGGCACCGTGGGTGGAAACTTTAATGGAGGGGGTAATGCAGTGTCGGTAGAAGAAGATGAAGGGGGTAGCAGCGGGAAGCAGGGCGTTAGGCAGAGAACTCATGGTGCAATAAGAAAGTGTAAGGAGAGAGGGGGAAGGGAGAAGAAGGGCGTAAGGACGAGAGGGGGAAAGGGGAAGAAGGGTGTTCGGAAGAGAGGGAAATGGGGGAAGCTGCGCCTAAGGCACCGGGGATGGTAAGGAGGTAGATAGGGGTAAGGCAGAGTGGAGATAGGGGGAAAAGAGTGCAAGGCAGAGAGCTGGAAGTTGGAAGTGAGGCGATGGGGGGAGGATGGGCGAATGGCGGAGAAGGGAAATAGGTTTCATAGGGTGTATGGAAGTGAGAAAAAAGGGGGATGCACGGTGTGTGGGGCTGAACGCATGGTGGGGGAAGTGGGGTGTAAGGAGGCAGGGGAATGGGGGAGTCAGAGAGAAAGGCAGAGAGGGGACGGTGGGGAAGAAGAGTGTAGGGAAGAGAGGGGAAACGGGGAGGAAGAGCGGTTGACGGTGAGGGGATAGGGGGAAGCAGGGGGTAAGCTAGAGAGGGGGGAATAGGGTGTGTGGCACCGAAGACGGGTGAAAGGGGACAAAGGGTGTTGCGTACAGAGGGCGCGTCATGGGGGCGGGGTCAAGGAGAGTCGGGGGAATAGCAGAGGGGAGGAAGGGACAGACCTGGATAGTCCCGTGGGGAGGATGGGGGGTAGATGGGTATAGCCGGGGGGAGTACGATTGCTAGAGGTGGGTATCAGAGGGTAGTAAGTGTGAGAGAGGGGGATAGCCAGGCGGAGCAAGGGAGAGAAAGGGGTATACCCATGGGGACTTGGGGACACAAACGGGGTATAAGTGAGGTTAGCATTGAGGAGCGTGGGGTATAGCCGAGGGGAGTAAGGGACCGAAAGGGGTGTAGAAGAGTGGAATGAGGTAGATGGGGGGCTATTTGGGAGGGGGCTAAGGGAAGAAGGGGAAGACGGGGTGCTAAGCAGATATAAGAGTTGGGGAATAAGGATGGCGGGGAGGGGAAGTGAGGGAGAGGGGGACAAAACAACACGGAAGAGTGGTGTAAGGGGGAAAGGGAGTAGGGAAGAGAGGGAACGGGGGGAATGAGGGCGCAAGGCAGATCGATGAGAGTTTGAATGTAGGCTGTAATGGCAGGGAGAGGAAGAGGTGAAGACGGTTGAAAGGTGGAGAAGGGAAGGGCAGGAGACGGGTAAAAGGCAGTATACCTGGGGAAGGGGGAGGTATGAAGCAAGGGAGAAAGGTGCAAAGGGTATGTAACGCAGAGAATAGGGGAAGATTGAGACGCGGCAAGGTGGGAAGGGAGACGCGGTCAGAGGGGAGGGGAGTGGTGTGGCCGCAGCGATGAGTGCGAGGGGCTGTAGAGCATATGGAACAGGCCCCCGACAAGACCCCTCTCACATACCAAAGCAGGTTGTGTGGGGGGGCGTTTGAACCCCTTCGCACAACCGCGCCTTAGCAGCTGAATTCCTCCTCTCGCCGCCGATCTGTGTCGCTGCTCATACACACGTCGACGCGAGCCGCTGATTGCTATCTTCCACCCTGTCGTGAGGGGAAGCAGGGGGGAGAAGGAGGGGAAGCAGGGGGGAGAAGGAGGGGAAGCAGGGGGGAGAAGGAGGGGAAGCAGGGGGGAGAAGGAGGGGAGGGAGGGGAAGCAGGGGGGAGAAGGAGGGGAAGCAGGGGGGAGAAGGAGGGGAAGCAGGGGGGAGAAGGAGGGGAAGCAGGGGGGAGAAGAAGGAATACAGTCAATGGGTATGCAGGGGAGAAGAAAGAAAGAGAGGGGGGGAAACAACGGGTAAGCAGGGGGAGTAGAATGAGTGGCAGCGGGGTAAACAATGGCTAAGACGACCAAGGCACCACGTTTCTGTCCACCCCCTCCGCTTTCCTTGATGCTGATGGGGTAAATTGGTTATTGGCAATGGGAGGGATGGGATTGATGTTTCAGAGAGATGGCAAAGGGGGAACCAGCGGGTAGGGAAAGGGGGGAGCAGGGAGCTCGGGGACAGGGCATGGCGGAGCAGGGAAGCCTTGGGGACAGGGAATGGGGGAGCAGGGGATGGGGGATCAGGGAATGTGGGAGCAGGGAATGCTGGAACGGGGAATGGGGGGACGGGGAATAGGGGGACTGGGAATCGGGGGACAGGGAACGGGGGAGCGGGGAATGTGGGAACAGGGAATGGGGGAGCGGGGAATTGGGGAACAGGGAATGGGGGAATAGGGCATGGGGGGACAAGGAATTGTTGTGGTAAGGGCATCGGGGGACAGGAAACTTGGGAGCGGGGAATGGGGGAGCGGGGAATGGGGAAACATGGGATGGGGGAACATGGGATGGGGGAGCGGGGAATGGGGGTGAGGGAATGGTGGAGCGGGGAATGCTGTCTTAGGGAATGCACATTGGGAATAGGGAGCAGGGACTGGGGGAGCAGGGAATGGGGGAGCAGGGAATGGGGGAGCAGGGAATGAGGGAACGGGGAACGGGGGGACGAGGATTGGGGGAGCAACACATGGGGGGAAAGTGAATTGGGGAGCAGGGTATGGGGGAGCAGGGAATGAATCTCAGAGAATGGGGGAGCAGGGAATGGGGGAGCAGGGAATGGGGGAGCAGGGAATGTTCGAACGGGGAAGGGGGGAACCGGGAATGGGCCGCGCGTGCTGCCCGTCAGACAGTGGCCGGCATCATTCCGTGCGCCTGCTGCCCGTCAGGCAGGGATGTCCCTCATCTTGCGCGGTTGGGTGCTCGTCACTGTCGGATAGCCGCATTGGGCAGGGCTCGCGTATCCTGGCCGTCGGACAGTGACGTCTGTCGGCCGTTTTTCGCATAGCGCGCGAATGCCGCCTGTCAGACAGACGCATTACGAATTTCGCGCCTATACATCCGTCAGAAAATGACGGGCTGCATTTCGCGCATCTGCTGACCGTCTGACGTCTCGCGGACAGCATGTCGCGTCTGTGCTGCCCGTGAGACATGTCTAAAGCGGTGAGGGCGCGTACCTCGAGGCGCCCGCTGCTGGGGGAGCGGGGAATGGGGGATCACGGAATGGGGCAGCAAGCCATGGGGGAAGGAGGAATGTGCGACATCGTCCACACCCTCAGCACGCTACCTCGCGGTTTCACTAAGAACGATACGGCCTGAAACTCATAGGCGTGCAGGCCGTCTGAACCCTAGTCATCACCATGGCGTGTTTCGCGGTTACCTGCGTTCCGCGGGATCGCTACCTGCTTAGTCGGCGGTTTCGATTTCGGTGCGCGAGGGTCGGAGGGAAGCGCGACGACTTGCGAGACTCCGAGGTGCGTGGGCAGGCGTGTTTGGCGATCTCCCTGACTGGTTTCTAAGCGCTTGTATTCAAGAGCGTACGTTTCGCGCATGAAGCGTTACGGCCAGGGCGATCGCACCGAGACACGCAGCGCGGGACGCTCACAACGGCGGCGATCGTCGCGATTGCGAAACGCGAGAGGAGTGGGGATCGAAGGGGACGAGACAGGTGAGAAACACGGATATACGCCCTGCAGGGTTTCTCAATAGAGGTGATGTGCACTCAAGGTCGAACTACAGAGTGTCCTACGGAATGTCTAAAGTGTGTCTGGAATAGGCAGAATCTATCCAGGCTCGGACCTGGGGCTACGTTCACGCTAAAGCCGGCCACGGAGCTTCTTTGTTCTCTCAGCTAACGATGGGAACTAGCGGGCCCGGAAAGGGTCGTGTAACCCAAGTCCAGCTTGAAATTCGAGTGGACCCAACTTGAAAGACCGCGCAGTCCATTGACGCTCGTGCCCGGGATTGTGACCCTGTTCACACGTAGATTGGTTTCCAGCGTTCCGTGAGTGACTGCATAGCCGGTTTGCGAGCGACGTTTGTCAGTTGCCGCAACCAATTGCAAACCTCTGCTCTGACTTCCTCAATCGCTGGCCAATCATGTTGCTAAACAAGCTTGTTTCTCCCGTCAGATATGTCAGACCTAACAGTAAGTTTCCCCCCATTCCCGTGAGTGACCCATGCGGCCATTTCAAGCTGGGCCGGGGGTCACAATTTTGCAGTCTCGTTTTAATAAATATGCCCCTTGGTATTGTTCACCTAATCAATTTTCAGAAAATTTTTGTTAAGACCCCCGGGTCCTATATACGGGAGATGACGGTAGGTCATGCAATGTATGGCATCTGCAAATTTCCTTTATACGGTAGTTGCAGAGCTATTCTAAAGGCCAACCTACGCAGTGACCTCAACAGCATTTCATGCTTGCACACAATTTGCCATCAAGCCTTTTCAATAGCGCCAGTGAACGCCAAACTTTCTCCCGTACCCACCCCCTTGCTTCACGCCTCATTCCACAACCGTCAGGAGCTTATCCCGCATCACCGACATACTGGGCCGGTTATCCCAGTCGAAGAAGATGGCGAAGCGGATGAGCGTGAACACAATGTACACCTGCTTCTTGGTCCACTGCCCGCTCATGCGCGGGTCCACCACGAGGTGGGGGTCCGGGAAGGTCTTGGCCACCACGAGCTTGCGCAGGTCCTGAAAGCGATCGTCCAGGGCCAGGCAGCCCGACACGAGCTCCAGGAGGAAGATGCCGAACGCGTACGTGTCCGACTTGCGACTCAGTTGGCCTTGGGGATGGAGGAGCGGGTAACGGACGGGGTGTGAGGGAGTGGGTGGTTGGGAATACAAGAGAGTGCGGCATTGGTGGGGAGTGCAAAGGAGTCGAGCTTTGGGATTACAGGAGAGTGGGGCATTGCATTGCAAGGAAATGAGGGAATCAAAATGCAAGGGAGTGGGCCACTGGGGAGGCAGAAGCGTGGGGCGTTGGGGATGCAAAGGAGTGGGAAATCGGGAATGTGGAGGGTCTGAGAAGCAGAAAAGAGGGAGTGAGGAGCAAAAGATATTGAGGATGAATTGGGCTGACAGACACCTTGCACGTCATACTCATACATCAAACGATTCATAATGAACAGAAAGAGGCAGGAGTGCATCCATAAAGAGGATGGATCCACACCAAAAAGTATGTTTGATAGAAAACACAAAGCCTACAGACGGATGATAGAGAGTGAGAGTGAGTGCGATTAAATGGCAAAAAACAAGTGCGCAATAATTAGAGGCGCACCTGCTTAGGAGCAGATGGGAGGGATTCATACATCCTTTACTACTGAGAGGATCATGTGTGTATGTATGGACGTGTATTATTGTCCAGGTGCACACATGCATGAATGGTTAGCCAGTCACCTGTCTGGAAGTAGATGGGGTCCATGTACCCCATGCTGCCCATCACTCACCTGTCTGGAAGTAGATGGGGTCCATGTACCCCATGCTGCCCATCACTCACCTGTCTGGAAGTAGATGGGGTCCATGTACCCCATGCTGCCCATCACTCACCTGTCTGGAAGTAGATGGGGTCCATGTACCCCATGCTGCCCATCACTCACCTGTCTGGAAGTAGATGGGGTCCATGTACCCCATGCTGCCCATCACTCACCTGTCTGGAAGTAGATGGGGTCCATGTACCCCATGCTGCCCATCACTCACCTGTCTGGAAGTAGATGGGGTCCATGTACCCCATGCTGCCCATCACTCACCTGTCTGGAAGTAGATGGGGTCCATGTACCCCATGCTGCCCATCACTCACCTGTCTGGAAGTAGATGGGGTCCATGTACCCCATGCTGCCCATCACTCACCTGTCTGGAAGTAGATGGGGTCCATGTACCCCATGCTGCCCATCACTCACCTGTCTGGAAGTAGATGGGGTCCATGTACCCCATGCTGCCCATCACTCACCTGTCTGGAAGTAGATGGGGTCCATGTACCCCATGCTGCCCATCACTCACCTGTCTGGAAGTAGATGGGGTCCATGTACCCCATGCTGCCCATCACTCACCTGTCTGGAAGTAGATGGGGTCCATGTACCCCATGCTGCCCATCACTCACCTGTCTGGAAGTAGATGGGGTCCATGTACCCCATGCTGCCCATCACTCACCTGTCTGGAAGTAGATGGGGTCCATGTACCCCATGCTGCCCATCACTCACCTGTCTGGAAGTAGATGGGGTCCATGTACCCCATGCTGCCCATCACTCACCTGTCTGGAAGTAGATGGGGTCCATGTACCCCATGCTGCCCATCACTCACCTGTCTGGAAGTAGATGGGGTCCATGTACCCCATGCTGCCCATCACTCACCTGTCTGGAAGTAGATGGGGTCCATGTACCCCATGCTGCCCATCACTCACCTGTCTGGAAGTAGATGGGGTCCATGTACCCCATGCTGCCCATCACTCACCTGTCTGGAAGTAGATGGGGTCCATGTACCCCATGCTGCCCATCACTCACCTGTCTGGAAGTAGATGGGGTCCATGTACCCCATGCTGCCCATCACTCACCTGTCTGGAAGTAGATGGGGTCCATGTACCCCATGCTGCCCATCACTCACCTGTCTGGAAGTAGATGGGGTCCATGTACCCCATGCTGCCCATCACTCACCTGTCTGGAAGTAGATGGGGTCCATGTACCCCATGCTGCCCATCACTCACCTGTCTGGAAGTAGATGGGGTCCATGTACCCCATGCTGCCCATCACTCACCTGTCTGGAAGTAGATGGGGTCCATGTACCCCATGCTGCCCATCACTCACCTGTCTGGAAGTAGATGGGGTCCATGTACCCCATGCTGCCCATCACTCACCTGTCTGGAAGTAGATGGGGTCCATGTACCCCATGCTGCCCATCACTCACCTGTCTGGAAGTAGATGGGGTCCATGTACCCCATGCTGCCCATCACTCACCTGTCTGGAAGTAGATGGGGTCCATGTACCCCATGCTGCCCATCACTCACCTGTCTGGAAGTAGATGGGGTCCATGTACCCCATGCTGCCCATCACTCACCTGTCTGGAAGTAGATGGGGTCCATGTACCCCATGCTGCCCATCACTCACCTGTCTGGAAGTAGATGGGGTCCATGTACCCCATGCTGCCCATCACTCGTGTGCTCACGTGCGTTGCCCAGTCCGTCACCGCCCTTGCCAACCCGAAATCCGCCAGCACTGGGGTCAGGTCCTGTGCGTGTGGGTGATGGGAGAGAGGTGGAAGAGATGCGAGGTATTGGATGGGTGTGAGAAAGATGGGAAAGATGTGAGGGAGATGGGAGTGTGTGAGGCATGATAAAAGGTGTGAGGCACGGTAACGGTTGTGAGGCATGGTAACGGTTGTGAGGCATGGTAACGGTTGTGAGGCATGGTAACGGTTGTGAGGCATGGTAACGGTTGTGAGGCATGGTAACGGTTGTGAGGCATGGTAACGGTTGTGAGGCATGGTAACGGTTGTGAGGCATGGTAACGGTTGTGAGGCATGGTAACGGTTGTGAGGCACGGTAACGGTTGTGAGGCACGGTAACGGTTGTGAGGCATGGTAACGGTTGTGAGGCATGGTGAAGAGTGTGAGGCATGGTAACGGTTGTGAGGCATGGTGAAGATTGCAGGACATGAAGAGGGTCTGAGGCAAGGCGGGGGGGGGGGGGGGGGAAAGAGGCAAGGAGGAGTGGGGGTGAGAGAGGCAAGAGGGGTGGGGGTGAGAGAGGCAAGAGGGGTGGGGGTGTGAGAGGCAAGAGGGGTGGGGGTGTGAGAGGCAAGAGGGGTGGGGGTGTGAGAGGCAAGAGGGGTGGGGTTGTGAGAGGCAAGAGGGGTGGGGGTGTGAGAGGCAAGAGGGGTGGGGTGTGAGAGGCAAGAGGGGTGGGGGTGTGAGAGGCAAGAGGGGTTGGGGTGTGAGAGGCAAGAGGGGTGGGGGTGTGAGAGGCAAGAGGGGTTGGGGTGTGAGAGGCAAGAGGGGTTGGGGGAGTGTTTGAGGCAGAGGATGGTTGGTGTGCTGCACTGCACTGCACGCAGCGCAATCCAGTCCAGTGAGGCTGGTGGTTCAGTGCGGTGCAGCATGGTACCTCTCTGAGCAGCACGTTGGAGGCCTTGAAGTCGCGGTGCACGAAGTTGGCGTCGTGGATGGCGGCCAGCGCCTCCGCACACCCCAGCGCCACCCCCAACCGCGCCCTCCATGGGAACGATGCCTCCCCTCGACCCGCTGCCACAGCAAGGTTCCAGGAAAGAGGGGAAGTAGGCAGCAGGTGAGGTGGACGGGAAACGATTGCACAAGCGAGGAGGATGGTTGGGAGCTCATCTGCTCTGCACACCCCATCGGCCCTCCATGCTCACCCCATCGCCCCTCCATGCTCACCCCATCGCCCCTCCATGCTCACCCCATCGGCCTGGCGCCACAGCAAGCGTGTGTGGCAGGGTAAGTGCACGTCTCTTGGTTGCTGACAAGGTTGAGGGGCAGTTGTGTGAGCAGGTGATGTGGGCAAGAGTGCGAGTGTGCACACATGTGTGCACGCCTTCCGAGATTTGCAACAAAGTTAACGATCAGCCTGGATGGTTCAACAATTGCCCACGAGGAAAAATGCTCTTGGGGTGCCTAGTTCTAGTTCTTTCTGCTGGGTAGGCAGAACTGGCAAAGGGGGCTGGTTTGTGGCAGGAACTCTGCTTCTACACTATACTGGGAACAAATGCAGCAGCACTCACAGCAAAGCTGCAGCCGCAGCAGCTGCGGCGTTGGCAGCAGCAACAGGCGTTTGAGGGACACAGTGGCACACAGGGGAGGGCGAGTCGCCCACATACCCCACATACCCCGCAAATCCACACAATCCACACAGCCCACATGCCCCAGCAGCAGCAGCGCACATCGTTTGAGGAACTCGCAGCAGTCGCCTCCTGGGATGTACTCGTACACGAGCACGGGCGAGGGCGAGTCGCCCACGTAGCCCAGCAGCCGCAGGATGCGCGGATGCTGCATGGCCGTCATTGCTGCCACCTCCACCTGCGGGCGGTGAGCAGGGAGGGTTGCGGGGAGAGATGGGAGGTGATGACAGGCACAGCCCAGCAGCTGTAAGATGCGCGGGTGCTGCATCGCCGTCATTGCTGCCACCTCCACCTGCGCGCAGCGGGAGAGGGGAGGGGGGTGCATGGTGCGATGCGAGAGGGGAGGTGCATGGTGTGTCAGTGACACAGCCCCTTGGAAAGAGAGCGAGTCTCCCACATGGCATGCTGCGGGATGTTGGGAGTGCTGCATGGCCGCCACTCACTCATCTCCGCCTTGGAGCAGTGAGAGAGGAGGGTTGTGGGGACAGATGGGGCAGGAGACGAGGAGGTGGGGGAGAGGGGTTGACACAAATACAGCCCAGAAGCTTCGGGCTGTTAGGCAGTACGGGCGTTAGAGAGGGGGGTGTGGGGGTACTGTATAGGGCCGTGAGAGGTGGGGAGGAACGGGGGTGCAGCTGTCAAGGCTCACTACCAAAACCCCCCCTGTCCTGACTCGTACCTCTTAACAAGGAGGAGCTCCAGCCTTCTGAACTCTTAGCTACCAGCTTGTCTGCCTTACAGGGCTCCATCCTACGTGCTTCCAACCTACCTTACTCTCCCCTGCCCTCACTCTCCCCTGCCCTCACTCTCCCCTGCCCTCACTCTCCCCTGCCCTCACTCTCCCCTGCCCTCACTGTCCCCTCACCTGAAAGCTGGACATGCGCACCTGGAAGCTGGACATGCGCACCTGGAAGCTGGACATGCGCACCTGGAAGCTGGACATGCGCACCTGGAAGCTGGACATGCCGCCGGTGATGTGCTCCGCGGCCATCACCTTGACCGCCACCTCCATGTCGCGCCCGCCCCGCCCAGCGGGGTGTGTGAGGCGCCCGTGGTACACGCGGCCGAACCCGCCCTCGCCCACCACTCGTGAGAAGCCCCCCGTTGCCGCATGCAGCTCCGCTGAGCTGAACACGCGCAGCGAGGTGTCTGGGTCTGGGGAAACGGGCGAGAGGGAGTGGGGAGGGAGGGGAATAAGGGGGAGGGACGTTAGGCAGCCGAACCCGCCCTCCCCCACCACTCGCGAGAAGCCATTAGTGGCCGCCTGCAGCTCCGCCGCACTGAACTCGCGCAGCGCGCCGGGTGAGGCTGGGAGGGGGGGAAGAGGGGGAGGGGAGGGCAGGGGATAGGCGGAAGAGGGAGGTGATGCAGGCAGAGCTGCCCCCCCCACCACTTGCGAGGAATTAATCTTGCCGCCTGCAGCTCTGCTGGGCTGCACTCGCGCAGTGGGGCGGGTGAGCCTGTGGGGGGAGAAGAAAAAGGGGAGGTTGGAGGGTGAGGGGGAATGGAAAGGGGAGAGGAAGGCGGGGAGAGGCAGGTGCGGTGTGCAGCTGTGCAGTGGTGAAGAGTGGTGAACTCCGCCAGAGGCACGCACTGGAATGGAGTTGGTGCGTGGGGCTGGAGGGGGAGGGAATGGCGGATGGGGGTCGAGATGCAAGAATATGCCGCGCCTGTCCCATACGGGCTCTCATAGTGGGGGCTCACGAAGTGGGGGCTATTGCGGGGATTGGGCCGAAAGAGGGGGAGCTCTCTTGTGGCGAGCTGCCTCTCCCCCCCCCCCCGCGCAGGAGTCCCTCCCCAGTGGAGAGTCCCCCCCAGTGGAGAGTCCCCCCAGTGAAAAGTCTCTAAGGGAAGGAGAAAGCGGGGCGACAGCTCACACGATTGGGCTCACACAATGAAGCTCACTGGGGGAGGTAGGGACGGGGAGAGGGTCGGGAGGGAGGGGCAGAGGGACGGGCGGAGTGACGGCGGCTCCCAGACAGTTGCCCATGCCGCCGCGCGCCCCTTGTAACGCGCCCCTTGTAACGCGCCCCTTGCAACGCGCCCCTTGTAACGCGCCCCTTGTAACGCGCCCCTTGTAACGCGCCCCTTGTAACGCGCCCCTTGTAACGCGCCCCTTGTAACGCGCCCCTTGTAACGCGCCCCTTGTAACGCGCCCCTTGTAACTCGCCCCTTGTAACGCGCCCCTTGTAATGCGCCCCTTGTAACGCGCCCCTTGTAACGCGCCCCTTGTAACGCGCCCCTTGTAACGCGCCCCTTGTAACGCGCCCCTTGTAACGCGCCCCTTGTAACGCGCCCCTTGTAACGCGCCCCTTGTAACGCGCCCCTTGTAACGCGCCCCTTGTAACGCGCCCCTTGTAACGGGCCGCTTCCAACACGCCAGTGGTAACGCGTGCGGCCCTAACGCGCTCCTAACAGCCTCTCCGAGCTTTCATCCACGATCGCTCGGCGCTGCCGCTCGGCGGGGTCGGTGGGCGGGGTCCGTGGGTACTAGTGATGCCGTTTTTCCCTGAGGGAATTGAGGCGTCCCACCTCTTGTCACGATCATCTAAGATGATATCAGCATGAGAGCCAAATGCCGTCACGTGAAGCATCGATCGCTCCGTTGAGGGCGCGGGCTCTCGAAGTCGCGCGGTGCCTGACGGCGTGGACTATGTGGCGGCGAATAGGGTCAGACGGAGTAGGCCGTTACAGTGCAAGGTGCGCACCCACTGCTACTGCAAATGCGTTCTACACGGAAGTGTCTGGATGCCTTCACTAGCCCTAACAAGAGCGGCTGGATGGCGCTACGCGGAGGAAATGAGGAAAAAGACGAGTTGGCGAAAGAACGTAGAGGGATGAAACTGGCGGGAACGATCTCGTCAGCTCAGAGCGCGTTTCACCCTTGGCTAACGAGCTCGCGCCACTCCAGGCTATGTTCGCTCCCGCTGGCGCGTCCGCGAGTCACGAAGGAGCTGCCTGGTGCTCGCGAAACAATTACGCGCGACGCGCGGCTGTCGCAAAACACTCGACACTGGATTCACGCTCGCCAATCCGTTCACGGACTATTCGTCTCGGGTATGGCTGTCAATGTCAAGCATCGTTGCACTCGTAACATTATTGTCAAGCGGCATTTACGGCATCAGCCGCCAACGGTATGCTACAGGCATGGGGTTCACGACGAGCCGTCGCCCGCACAAAGTTGCCCGATATCATTTCCACGCTCGGTCGAGAACGTGCCGCTTCGTCATTAAGTATCGGAGCAGTGGGGTGGGGATACAGTGTTTACGGATATAACCCTTCAAAAAAATAATAGAAACCAAGATACGAGGCATGTGCTAGATTTGGGCATCCTGAGCCCTCAAGACAAAAGAAAATGACAGTAGCTACCAGGGCAGAACCCAGGCCAATCACCTGAATTGAGCGTACAACGAGGGGCTGCCTATCACCTGAATTAAAGCGTACACCGAGGGGCTGGAAATGGAGATTCGCTAAGAGGTCATCGTTGCGAACTACAGTAGCTACCGCGATATGGTATATGCAGCTGAGCGATACGACACATTGGCGCGTGGTCAACCAAAAACACGACGCCACGTGCCGAACAGGTCTTTCGGCATGGAGCGATCGGCAACCACACGTTCGCCGAACTGGTGGTTATCGACGGAATCAACGCGAAGCCGCGGCCGACAAATTGTGAATTCTTGTCAAGAACTGAATGATGGTTTGACTAAGGTTGGTTGGGGTACATAAGCCTAACCCTAACTGCTGTACCCTAACACACATCACTAAAGGCTACAACATTTGACACACCCCCATAGCCTAAGTGAAGGGTGTCAAGCAAAACCAAAACCGTACGGTCACAAGACCAGCCACACAACAGCAAAGCTCAGGGTGGATCACAACATCACCACACACTCTGAGCACAAGCAACAGGGCCATAAGGCCAGTTCAAGAGTTTACAGAGGTATAAGCAAAGTATACAAACAAAGTAGAGAACTCAAGTATACGCAAGACGAGTGCTTGTGTCAACAAGACCTAACTGCACACAACACCTGTGGTGGTCACAAGGCGGAAGGGCCTTTGTGTAAATGTCTGCAGTGTTGGCCTCCGACTCCACAGAGTCAAAGCGAGCCTGTCTACGCCTCTGCAACTCTCGCAGAAGAAAGTACATGATGATGATCTGCTTTACTCTGCTCTCCAGTTGCGGCTCTCGACAAAGGAGACTCGATGCCTTGTTGTCAGCGAACAAGGTTGGTGCAGAGCTCGCCCGCTCACCAAGGTCATTGAGCAAGAAGGTCAACCAGCGCAGCTCCTGTGCAGCCATGGCTCCAGCGTAGATCTCAGCCTCAGTGATAGAGGTCGAGACCGAGGAGGAACGCGTGGACCTCCACGAAACAGCTCCAGAGCCCAAGCCGAAACAAAACCCCTGAGTAGAGTGGTGAGTCTCGGCGTCGTCAACGTAAGAAGAGTCACAGTGACCAATAGTACGACAGACTGCCCCCCATCAGAACGAGCCCCACGACTGATGTCGTCGCTAGGTACTTCACCACCCTCACAGCAGCTGTCCAGTGAACAGGATGATGTCTCCCTGGCGCAACAAAGCAAGCAAGGATGCTGAGAAGGAAGGCGGGGTCTAGGCGAGTACAAGTCATTAGGTACATGAGGCAGCCCACAAGCTCTGCGTAAGGACCACTAGGCTCAAACGGCTCGTCAAGAAAGGGTCCAGTGAGTCTGTGGTCGATGGCAAGAGGTGTGTGCTGTACTATGAAGTGCTGAAGCTCGAACCGCTGAAGGACCTGCTGCACCATGTGTGATTGTGAGAGTGTAATGGTGCGAGCGGCTCTGTCCCTGGTGATCTGCAGGCCAAGGTAGTGGCGTAGCTCACCAAGGTCACTGTACGTGTGTCATTGCACGTGTGCCATTTGAACTTCACGTCAGCCAAAGCAACCCTATCAGTAGTGGCAGAAACCAGGTCATCGACGTAGACCAGTACAAAAAACTATGTGGAGCAACGACGAACGAACATCGACGGGTCGGTAGAAGATGGCTAGAAACCGCGGTCAGACAGTGTAGAACGAAGGGTGTTGTGCCACTCACGAGGAGCCCGACAAAGACCGTAGGCCGAACGCCTCAGCCTCCACTGGGTCCCATAAGGGAAAGTTTTAGAGAAGGCAGAGGGACGATGCAGCCAGACCTCCTCGTGTAGACTACCTTGAAGGAAGGCAGTGGAGAAGTCGAGAGAGTGTAACTCGTAGTCTCTCTGTGCTGCTACATGCAGGGAGGGTAGACGGCACCGCGCGATAGCTAACGCTGTCCTGACCCCTGCCTGGAACCTGCTGTTGCCGCTGCTGCTGCGGTGGATGCTGCTGCTGCTTCTGCTGCTGTCGCAGAGTCAGGTACCAAGCCTCCGCTACAACACCTATAGTCGGCAGACCTGTAGGCGTCTGACGTTCCGAGCGTCACCTCCACCAGCTGCAGCAGGGGAGCCACTAGGCGCTGCACGAGGCGCTCCTCAAACTCCTGCACTCTCGCAACCACCACTCGTCACGCCACCTCCGCCACCTCGGCCGCCTCCGCCCGCACCCTAACAGCCCCTCCTGCCACTCCTACCCCTAGACTGCAAAGAAGTCGTAATAGCAGCTGCGGTCACGGCAGTAGCGGCAGTGTCGGGGGAGGCAGTAAAGGTGTGCAGCTGAGGGACAGTGCACCTGTGAAACAGTGAGGGGGCACAGCGCCAGATTCGGAGGCTACCGAGTGGATATCGCTCTCGGCGTCCTTGAGGGCAGACTCAAGTACCTCGACAGTGAGCTCGCTAGGGTGCTTCAGAAGAAGCGCGTCACGAACCGAGGCAAGGCGGTCAGGGAGGCTAGTGGCGATGAAATGGATAGTTATCGCCATAGGTAAAGGGAGCAGTGCAAGCTGTGCGTCAGTGCAGGTAGCACGATAGCTAGAATCAGACGAGTGCATGTGAGCGATCGAGTAAAAAAAGTGCTCGAACGAGGCGAGGTCAGGAAACAGGAACGAGAGAAAAAGTCGACCAAGAGAGACAGTGGTGGGAGTAGCATAGCGGGCCTTGATCATAGTCAGGAACTCACTGGAAGTGTGAACCTGAGTGAAATGGGCCTCATCAGACTCAGGGAGGAGGCTGCTAAGGGCGATGCAGGCTGCAGCGGCATGCGACTTCCATCCTGTCAAGTCAGCACGCTGGCGTGCAAAACGGTCCTTGCATGCATTGCTGGCGTCAGCGCCTAAGGGTGCAGCGTCGGAGGGTGCAGGAAGGTCATCAGAAGTGTGCGCCCACAGAGACTCCTCTCCCTGAACCTGACTCTCTAAAATTCGGCGCACACGCAGGAGACAGACCTAGAACTCGAGCTGCCTACCCTCGGCGTCAAAGCGCAGGACCCTAGGGGTCGCCATAGCGGAAGCAAAGAGGTGGGAACTGCTGATGCCGAAACCCTAAGGGCCTGCGTAGGGCGTGACAGGCAATGCGTGAGGCTCAGGGGACTGTAGGATGGTGGGGTATAGGGTGCGACATGGCAGCATGGGCAGTGCGCGACGGGACAGGATGGGCGCAGTGCGGCGCGGCACGACGGGACGAGCATGGCGCGGTGCTGAGTGGCAAGCAGGACGTGACGGGACGCGGCGCGGCTCGGCGCTGCGTGGGTCGAGATGGAACGGGACGCGCGCGGGATGGGACGGGATGGGACACGCACAGCTCGGCGCTGCGGGACAGGCAGGGCGGGACAGGCGCGTCACGGCGGACAGGTGCAACGCGATGGACGGGACGGGCAAGGGGGGGAGGGGGGGACTCGACGCGATGGGGAAAGCGGGCGCGACGCGACCAGCAAGCGCAGCAGGCGCTAGGAAACGGTACAAGCATGAATAACTTCAGGGTACGGGACAAGCTCGGGCGTCTCGGGCGTGAGCGGGAGGAACGGGATCCCACGGGATCCGAACCTAGGTGATACCATGTCAAGAACCAAATGATGGTTTGACTAAGGTTGGTTGGGGTACGTGCCGAGAGACACGTGGCCAGAGGTTCAGCTGGTGAGCGGCGTACCGAACCGCGTAGGGCCAAAAAAATTGGGGCACACGGACGTGGATCATAGAGGTGCGTGCAGTCTCCATGACCACGCGCTCAGCAACCCCATTCTGCTGTGGGGACTCTGGAAGCGTCCAGGACTAACGGATGCCCTGCTCGGAACTCACCCCCATGGCCGGAGTGAAGACAGCTGACATGACGACCACGAGTGTCCTCAATGGTAAGTAACCACCGGATTAGCGTAGAAGTCACCTCAGACTTCTTAACCAAGGGGAACACTGTGGTGTAACAGGAGTAGTTGTCAACGACCACAAAAAAAAAAAAAAACTCTCTCTCTCTCTCTCAGGGCCAGGGCGAGGGGCGGACCCTAGACGTCCAAGTGGTGAGTCTCGAAAGGCTCGGTGGCCGGACGAAGGGAGGAGGGGTGAGAGGTGGCGCGCAGCCGACCCTCGACGCAAGGACCGCACGGTGGTGCAAGTGAAGGCAGCAGCGACGGTAAGACTCGCGGGAGGCCTAAGACAAGACGCTGACTAAACATGTCACGCAGGCGAGGAATGGACGAGTGCCCCATCC